CCCTACACCATTCCCCTCCTTGCAATTCCTCATTAGGCCTACAATCGTCCCATCCATACACCTACATCACCTACCCTCCCCTTCCCCTTTCCCTTTTCCTTCTCCTCATCCTCCTCCTTCGCATTCAACTTCACATCCCTACCTTCTCAACCACAAAAAACAGTCCACACACAATGCCAAAGACAATGCTCACACTTCCAACCACCTAACAATGTTAACCATGCCAACCTCCCAACTTCTTCTTCCACCACTCTCCACATCCACATCACACCCCCATTTTCACATCCTTCCGCTTCACCACATCTTCACCTCAAACCTCACTACCACGTCCCTCGTCTCCACTCCACTCCACTCCACTCCCCTCCCCTCCCCTCCCCTCCCTCGGCTTCACGCCCATACCATCTCGTCTCATCCCACTACTCAACACAACCACCACAACCATAGCTCTGTCAACTCACCAGCTCCAGATCGGGGCCGATTCAGTGGCGCCACTTCCGACCACGCATCCGCTTCCGGGTCGTACCGTTCCACACTCGACAGACGACGCTCACCATCAAATCCTCCCACTGCGTACAACAGTCTGAAAACAAACACCAAACAACCGTCTCAGTTACTACGCCTTACGCACATCTGTCTCCCAATCACCACCGCTCATATTCCCAATACCCTTCAACTACCCCAATCTTGACAACCCACCCCACGCCACCCTACTCCCCTCGCCTCCCACCCTCATCGCTCCTCTCATCAATACCTCCTAATACCACGCCACCTCGCCTCCTCTCCACTCTCACAACTACTCACCTTCCCACCCTCCTACCTACCTACCTACCCACCTACCACACCATCAAACAATCCACCTGTCTCACAAACAATCCCAACCACTTTTACCCATCACCATTGTAGTGAGATCCACCAAGAGATCAAAGATAGCTGGTGGGTGGCTCTACTCCACTCCACTCTACATCATCACCTCTACCACCATGGTTACAACTCCACTAACACTAACACCCACATTTTAGAGGTCCTCTACTATCCCCACTTTGCTCATTGCTCCTATACCAATCACTTACCTATTTACAACAGCAACACCGAGTCCAATCCGAGGATAGTGCATTGGAGCAATTGGGGTCCAGAGATCGTCGTCCACATCGTATCTGCAAGAAAGGCAAATAGCACCGATGACACATCCGACGCAATAACAATAAAAGTAGGCACAGACGGAGGAGGGAGGGAGGGAGGGAGAGACGGGCAGTGCAGGGTAGGGTAGGGTAGGGTAGGGGTGACACCTCTATCTCCCCTCCCATCTTACGGCAGTCACTGTATTCCTCCAATGCACCCAATCAAGGCGGATGGAGATCGGTGGAGCGACAGACTGATGCGTGTATGCATGTGTGTGCGTGTGTGATTCACACAAAACAAATAAAAGTGAGATGAACGAGGAAGCTGGTAAAAAGATGGGGAAATTTTCCAATCGTGAAGCCTTTCTAATATGCCTTCT